ACACACGTGTAGGCAAAGCTCTTTAAAGGACCAAAGAGGATTCTATACTGAACTTGACTATAGTTAATGTCATTAACCTAGATGACTTCAGCCTGATTGCTATGTAGTAATAATTTGTGATTGTTTCCTCTTCAGCTTAATCGGAATGGGAAAGTAGTTAATTTACTCTTTGGAGTACAGAAACTTTCTGTTTCTGTTATAGGTATAGTTGTGTACTTCATTAAAATGGTTATCTGGGTGAGCAAGTCTGGCCTTAGAGCCAGATTGCCAGGGTTCCTAAAACTAGAACCTTACATCTTTATTTTATTTTCATAAGGTTTAAATAACTCTCACTCTTGATACAGTAAGCCCCTGACTTACAAACAACATTTGAATTGTGAACTTGCACAGATATGAACGGATCTCACAGATATTTGTAGATGTGAACCAAAGGTGGAAGTAGCTCACGTGTCTGCCAGACATTGTCACAGTTGTGCTGCTGTGTGCTTCTGTACAGTGTGATTGTGTACAGTACACAGTGTTCACTCAGAGCCCAGTGTGGCTGGAAGCAAGATGAAAGGCCATGGTGATACAGAGGGGATGCTAGGAAGCACGAAACATAAGTGAAAATACAGTATAAGACTCACTTTGTCACTGTTTACAAGTCCATACGAATGTTACCCTGCGCTTCAAGGGAAAGCATTTCTCTCTTTACTGTCTTGATTTTGTTTCTGTGCTTTTATGTAATCTGTGTAAATTGTTGGTAAGGCTGGGTGGCTGGGCAAAGATATAATGCAGAAGAGAAAGAGTAATTCTATCTCCTGGTGACTCAAGTTTTGTTGGAATGAGATGTGGGAACTTTTTGATAGGTGAGATTCAGTCCTTTGGATACGTTTGAAAGCTGGCTCTATGGTTCTTGATAGTTCCTGGTAGGAATAGAGATAAATTTAAAAAATTTAACCTTTTGTGTGTGGTGGTACCTGCCTATACTCCCAGCACTGTAGGAGTCTTGAGGCAGGGAAATTGCAAATTTGAACATAGCCTGGGCAATGTAGTGAGACTCTGACTCAAAATAAATAAAGCATTGAGAGCAGGGGATATAACTCAGTATGAAGGCCCTGCATTCAGTCCCTAGTACTGAGGGGTGGGGTGATTAATGGGTGGTTCACAAACTGCAGTGTAGATACTAAAGTCCAAGGCCACAAATGGGGGTGGGGGTGTCTGTGGCTAGCACACTCACCACTTTGGACTTTACCAAAATAAATGGAGACAGTAGTGAAGTTGGAAGGCCGTGGGCTGAGAATTGAAACCAGGATCCTCTTGCATGCCATATATCTTGGGTCTGCAAAGGATGGGATTTCATTGGCTCAGTGGGATGAGCCTTTGGTTCAGAAATAAGTTATTTAGGTCTGTAAAAGCCAGTAGGATAGTGGAATAGGAAGGAATGAGAATGCATAATTCCTAGCAAATGTTGCCTCTGGATGATAATTTTTGCCAGAGGGAGGACCATTTTGATCTAGAGAAAAGCACAGCTCTTCTCGGCATTATGTGCATATATCTTACACAGGGATTTTTGAAAAATTCTCACTAACAGTGAAATCAATATTGTATAACTTTTGTATTTTACTGAATACTTTTATTTTTACTCTAAAAAGAGGAAACTGACAGAAATAAGTGATTCAGCACAGGGTTAGTTTTTCCTGTAGGTTGCAAGCCTTGTTAAGAATGTCCATCTACCAAATCATTTAGTATGAAACGTAAGTGCATCTTATTTAGGATCTTTTGTGGTTTATTCTCATCTATGCTTCACTGGCTTTCAGATTTCTTTCCTCTCTTGCTTATCAAAAATTGTATTTTATGTTCATATTCCATATTATTTCTCGTAATGGGAGCCCATTTATATATTTTGCTTGTTTGTTTGTTTTGGTACCAGGGATTGAACTCAAGCCCTTGTGCTTATGAGGCAGGCATGAGGACCACTGAGCTAAATCCCCAGCCCCCACTTATATATTTTAAAGTACTACTTTCTAGTGACTTAAGATCTAGCATAACCTTAAGGTCATCTGGAGACAGGATCTCACTGTGAAGTTTAAGATGTCCTTGAACTACTATGTAGCGCAGGCTGACCTCAAACTAACTACGATCCTCCTGCCTCAGCCTCCTGAATACTGGGATTACAGGTGAGCCTGGCTACAGTCATTTTTGAGCAGAACTTTATTAAGCAGATTTTTCTTAAAATGCCCTCCCTTCTACTTCCTTTGTTGTTGCTGTTGTTGTTTCTCTCACCATCACCCTGAATTGAGCATTGAACCCAGGACCTTTTGCACTGACTTACATCCCTGGTATTTCTATTTTGTTCTGAGACAAGGTCTAACTTATTTAAGCTGCATTTGAACTTTTTTGATCCTCCTGTGTCGGCCTCCCAGAATGCTGGGATTACAGGTGTGTGCCACTACATCTCCCCACAACTTTTAGTGTATTTTAGCCATGTAACTGTGTTTATAAAGTTTTTAGTCAGTGAAGGTAAGTTGTAGTGGAAAAATATATAGCATTTTATTAGTAAGTGTGTGTCATTGGAAAACTGCAGAAGCCACCATAAGAATAATTGATGACATTGCCATTGGGAAATTAATCTACTGAGCTAAAAATCTAATGGAAAACAAATTTAAGGCCATTATCCCCTCCCACCCTTTTTTTGGTATTGGGGACTGAACTCAGGACCTTGTTCTTGCAAGGCAGGTGGTGAAACTACTGAGCTTAAATCTCTGGCCCCATTAGCCCCCCCCTTTTTTTTTAATCCTCTAGTTTTAAATCCTCTAATAAAACTAACTTATGTGGCAAAATTCTTGTATCTCCATTATTGATGAAATAGGAGCAGAAGCCTAGGGAGAATGTGAAATTCCTTGTGAAATATGATTTTGCTGATTTAAATGTGTGCTCTTTTAAAATCTGGAATCATTGTTTCCAGTTGAAACGGCTCTGAAGAGACTTGCCTTTTACCAACTTGTCCTGCCATCTGTGCCACATTTTGCACTGGTGCCTTTAGATCTAGGCCTGCTCTGAAGTCTGGATTTGGAAGCCCCATCTCACACGTAGTGCCCTTGTGGCCATGCTCTTTTCACATAGCTGAAACTCACAAAGAGGGTGTCAGGGAGCTGATGTGCCTTTGTTGTCCCAACTTTGGGAGCCAGTGGGCCTTTTGCTTTGGATGAGCCCTGCTTTATAATAGGGCTCCCTGGCATTACCTGTGGTTCCTGTTGGGCTCTCTGTGCCTGTACTTGTCCTATAGATTGTTTTATATTCATACTTGTCCTGGCAATTTATGTAGCCTATCATTGTCTTCTATAATTTCAACTTCATTAATAAAAAGAACAACTCACATTGGAGGAGAAAATTGACTGTTTATGATTTTGGGGGTGGATTCTTACACTACATTTATGTTCTTCATGTGGAATTCTCTTATTTCTCTGGTTCTAAATGTGACCAGTTAACTCCGTAGCAACAGATTTACACAGTAACTTCACAGAGGAACAATCTTGAACTCAGGGCAGCTGTCAAGATGTCTCAGTTGAGATGGGAATTCAAAACTGATAATGCCCCATGCTCAAACACACTTAGCAGGGGAGATCAAATTGGGTGAGTGAACATTTGGGTTAAAGTTGTCCTACAAAAATTGGACACCTTGGCTTAAGATTCACTTGCCTGACATCAGAGCCTGAATGGGAATCAGAGAACATCTCTTACATGTTTCTGGGAGTGCCGCAAATGCCCTTGCCTTCGGTCATCGGCCCCTGCAAGTGCCTGCCCACCAGTGCTGAAGTGCACAAGTTACTCCCCTCCCATCCCTAGCGTGCTCTTTGAGGGGCTCTCACCTTTCCATCTTTGCCCTCCCCTCTGCAGTTTGCTGTGGTTAAGACAGCTCTTAAGGAGTAGATTGAAGCTCATGGGTGTGACTTATGCTCCCTCTTACTGGTTTTCTACTTGTAAATATAAATTGAATCTGCCACCTCAGTTTTTTCTTCCTCCAGGTTTAGAAATGGTACTTTTCTCTGCTGCCTCCTCCTCCCTTTGTTGCTGGTGGTGCTGGGGACAGGACTCCAATGCCTCATGCTTGCTATGATATCCTCTACAACTAAGCCACACCCCTGAGCCCCCTTTTCTTTTCCTTTTTTTTGAGTGATCTCTGTTGCCATTTATTAGTAAGTGTGTGTCATTGGAAAACTGCAGAAGCCACCATAAGAATAATTGATGACATTGCCATTGGGAAATTAATCTACTGAGCTAAAAATCTAATGGAAAACAAATTTAAGGCCATTATCCCCTCCCACCCTTTTTTTGGTATTGGGGACTGAACTCAGGACCTTGTTCTTGCAAGGCAGGTGGTGAAACTACTGAGCTTAAATCTCTGGCCCCATTAGCCCCCCCCTTTTTTTTTAATCCTCTAGTTTTAAATCCTCTAATAAAACTAACTTATGTGGCAAAATTCTTGTATCTCCATTATTGATGAAATAGGAGCAGAAGCCTAGGGAGAATGTGAAATTCCTTGTGAAATATGATTTTGCTGATTTAAATGTGTGCTCTTTTAAAATCTGGAATCATTGTTTCCAGTTGAAACGGCTCTGAAGAGACTTGCCTTTTACCAACTTGTCCTGCCATCTGTGCCACATTTTGCACTGGTGCCTTTAGATCTAGGCCTGCTCTGAAGTCTGGATTTGGAAGCCCCATCTCACACGTAGTGCCCTTGTGGCCATGCTCTTTTCACATAGCTGAAACTCACAAAGAGGGTGTCAGGGAGCTGATGTGCCTTTGTTGTCCCAACTTTGGGAGCCAGTGGGCCTTTTGCTTTGGATGAGCCCTGCTTTATAATAGGGCTCCCTGGCATTACCTGTGGTTCCTGTTGGGCTCTCTGTGCCTGTACTTGTCCTATAGATTGTTTTATATTCATACTTGTCCTGGCAATTTATGTAGCCTATCATTGTCTTCTATAATTTCAACTTCATTAATAAAAAGAACAACTCACATTGGAGGAGAAAATTGACTGTTTATGATTTTGGGGGTGGATTCTTACACTACATTTATGTTCTTCATGTGGAATTCTCTTATTTCTCTGGTTCTAAATGTGACCAGTTAACTCCGTAGCAACAGATTTACACAGTAACTTCACAGAGGAACAATCTTGAACTCAGGGCAGCTGTCAAGATGTCTCAGTTGAGATGGGAATTCAAAACTGATAATGCCCCATGCTCAAACACACTTAGCAGGGGAGATCAAATTGGGTGAGTGAACATTTGGGTTAAAGTTGTCCTACAAAAATTGGACACCTTGGCTTAAGATTCACTTGCCTGACATCAGAGCCTGAATGGGAATCAGAGAACATCTCTTACATGTTTCTGGGAGTGCCGCAAATGCCCTTGCCTTCGGTCATCGGCCCCTGCAAGTGCCTGCCCACCAGTGCTGAAGTGCACAAGTTACTCCCCTCCCATCCCTAGCGTGCTCTTTGAGGGGCTCTCACCTTTCCATCTTTGCCCTCCCCTCTGCAGTTTGCTGTGGTTAAGACAGCTCTTAAGGAGTAGATTGAAGCTCATGGGTGTGACTTATGCTCCCTCTTACTGGTTTTCTACTTGTAAATATAAATTGAATCTGCCACCTCAGTTTTTTCTTCCTCCAGGTTTAGAAATGGTACTTTTCTCTGCTGCCTCCTCCTCCCTTTGTTGCTGGTGGTGCTGGGGACAGGACTCCAATGCCTCATGCTTGCTATGATGTCCTCTACAACTAAGCCACACCCCTGAGCCCCCTTTTCTTTTCCTTTTTTTTGAGTGATCTCTGTTGCCAGTGACTTTTTTATTTTTGCTTGGTGCTTGCCTTAGTCTCTAAACATACATAGAGCTCTTGGCTCTCTTAGTTGAGTAAGTTTAATTGTAAAAATAGTGAAAAGAATTTGGGCACGATGGCACACACCTGTAATCCTAGCACTCTAGGAGGCTAAGGCAGGAGGATCATGAGTTTGAGGCCAGTCTGGGCGAGTTAGTGAGAAATTGTCTCAAAAAAACGTCTGGAGATGTAGTTTGGTATGAAGGCCCTGGGTTCAATTCCCAGTACCAAAAGCCCTACCCCCCAAGAACCAAGAACTATTTTCCCAGATTTACTAATTATAAACATTTTCCCAAATTTGCTCTATATTTTTATTTGTTGAAGCATTTTAAAATAAATTAGACATCTTTTCCCTTTACTTTCTTAAGAAATAACACCCTTTGTATATATCCTAAAATATATCCATTTGTATTTATAACTATAGTATAGTTGTCAAAAGCAGAAAACATTTTAATACAATATGTTATATAAAGTCTGTATTCACATTTCATCTGATTTCATCAAATATGATCTCTACAAGAATTATTATTTTTCCAGTATGGTATCTAATTCAAAAATCACTCATTGCTTCTAGTTGTTGGGTCCTTTAATCTGTCAACAGTTTCTTAGCCTGCCATGTGATACTGGCATTTTAATGAGTAAAGTCCAGTTACATGGTTACAGTGTTACAATTTGGGTTTATTTCCTCATAATTAGATTCAGGTGTTTTGTTTACTTTTGGTTTTATGAGAGGGTCTCACCATCTATTTTAGGCTGGCCTTGAACTCAATGTGTTGCCCAGGCTGGCTTCAAACTTGTGGCTGCCCTGCCTCAGCTTCCTGAGTGCTGGGATTATAGGTATGTTTGACCATGCCTCACTAGCTTCAGGCTTTATATGAGTATCACCTCAGGAAATGTGTGATGTCATTTACCTCCATCATTGGTGGTGGTAACTTTTATCGTTAATCTAGACTTTAAAACAAGGCAAAAGGTAATCATTTTCGTTATACATACCCATGTTTACCTGCTTTTTATAGAACTATGATAATGCAAATGCCTTTTGTTAATGTATACTTTTTTGTATTCTTCCCCCATATTAGCCCTTAATTCCCCAGAGTCCAAATCAGTAATGTGTAACGTTCCTTATTTTTCTCTGTACTCATAATTTATATACACAGTAGAGCAATTTATTAGTCTCAGTCAAGCCGTTCCCATGGCCTAGGCCCTGAGTTTTAGTGGAGTCATACTGTAAGGGAGTCACCTATGTCCCACTGGACTTGTGTGAGGAGTTTGGTGTGTGGGAGATTAAGGTATGGTCCAGAGCCAAACATCACCCCCTGCTGGAATTCATTCTTTGCCACCCTACCTATTCCACCGAAACAAATCTTAAAAGATTGCTGTGACCCTTTTTTGAATTAAAAATTATAGGGATGAATGATTTAGACTATAAAATTTTTCTATCATCTCACCTTCCATTAAATTGAGTACATTTTTATTTTATTTTATTTTTTTGGTACTGGGGATCGAACTCAGGTCCTTGCACTTGCAAAGCAGGTGCTGAAACCACTGAGCTAAATCCCCAGCCCCTTTAATCTCTCATTTTTAAATCCCGTGCCAACACATAATATATATATTACTGACAGAAATGGGTCTGTTGGGCTGGGGATTTAGTTCAGTGGTGCCACCGCCTGCCTTGCAAGCTGCAAAGTCCCAAGTTTGATCCCTGCCCCCCCCCCAAAAGATCTGTTTTATAAATACGGTTAGGCAGTGTTTTTTGTTTTTTTTTTTCCTTTTTTGCTGGTAACCTCTAAATTGCCGTTTTCTATGGACTTCTATTCCTTATCGTCTTGGCTGTGAAAACATTTCATCCTCCTAGCTGTCTTTTTTGGGTTTATTTTGGTTTTTGTTCCCTAAATGTGTCCTTCCCTCAGTATCAGCCCCTACAGTTTTCAGATATTTTGTGTTTTATTTGTAACCAGGCAGTCTAGTATACACATTTACCATTTTCACTCTGCTCCTTTTTCTGGACATGTTTTTGTGATTTCCCTCAGCCATCCTGGCTCTTGGCTTTTAAACCTCTTTCCTTATCTTTCTCCCTCAGTCCTTACATCTGAGCTGTTGTCAAACATTATTAGATTAGGACACTTTTGGCCAGTCTTTAGTCTTTCTCTTCCTTTTTGCCCTGCATCTTGTGCTGAGAATTTTCATAGTTGTCCACATTTTGTTCATTTTCCCTGGCCAGGTATTTAAGATACTGCATTCTGCTCTTAATTTTTTTTCCTCTTACGTTGTTTTTCCCTCCCTTGAGCCTCCCCGAACCTCTCTCATCAAGCTAAGTGGCTCATTTGGCCAGTCCTCTGTGCATGTCAGGAATGCCTGTTTCCCGACTGTTCCCACCATCCTAGAGTGTCCCTGGGCTCTGCCTGGGGGACTTGACGATGACTCTGGACTGGTGCTTCAGTATCCTGACACAGTACATGACCAGAATTCTCAGAGCAGAGCTCTGGGATGGACCCGTCCCGTGTGCTCTCACCGGATTCTTGCACTGCTGTGAAGAGTTCATTCAGCTCTCCTGAGGCAATCCCATTTCCAAGGGCCTGGAAGAGGGTTTGAGAGGATACCTGTGGAAAGTCAGGGATTAGTCTGGCCCTGTCCCACCTCTGGTGCATGCCTTTGACCTTTGGGTATGTGCCCCGCCTCTGGACCTCATCCTCATCAGAATTTCTTCATATACCACATGGCTCCCTAAGGCCTTTCTAGTTTATAGATATAAAGTGTGAGCCCTTTAAAGAAGCCCCAGCTGTGAAGTCAGGAGTGAAATAAGTTGTCAGTAAGACGACAGCTCTCCATCAGGAGGAAAGGCTCATTTGTCAACTTGCAGGAAGTTGCCTGCTGGAGCAGTCTTGATAGGAAAAGGGGTTGTTTACTGGGAGTGCTCATGGGTAAGGGGCAGCCACCCTCTCCCTTGACCCTGTTTTCTTTAATGCTTTTTCTTTAACTGGCTAGCTCTGTTTCCCACATGGTCCTTAGAAAGACTGGAGTTAAAATAACTCCCTATTTTAGGTCAAGACAAATGTCTCCTGAGGACTTAGAAGAGAGCCCTCAACCTGAAAAGGTAAGCAGACTATTAGTATGAATAAAGGGAGAGGGCATTCCAGAGCCACCCAAAGTGACCAACACTCATCAGCATAGCTGTCTATTGGTCTCTGCATTCACCATGGCCAACTCAAGAGACAGGGCCAGGTAGGTAACTTAAGTGTGTACTGAAAGCAGGCTGGTTTTCCTTTTAAATTACTACTTGGGCCAGATGTAACACACTGAGGCTGTCAGTCCACAGCCCCTATGTGGAATATACTTATGTCCTGCAAAGCTGTGATAACAATGACACGGGCTGTATGAACTTTTATATATATTGAGTATCTAGTAATTGCCTTGGGGGGCTGGGTAAAACAAATAATACAAATTAAGATCAAGTTAAAGGTAAATTAATGATTGTCTTCAGAAAGCTCACTGTAAGATGAATGATACGTGCTGTCAGTTCTGAAGCTGGGCTTTTATGTATTTTCCGTCTTAATCACAACCTTGTGGTTCTCTGTTTTGCAGGTGGGGAAATCTGGCTCAGAGCAGTGCTGTAGTATGCCTCAGATAAAAGTAGCTTGTATGTAGGGAATCGGGCAGAATTCTAACCTAGAGCTCTGAACTCTGCTCATGTGCTTCTCATACTACATTGTATGTGTGCATACATCCATGCTGTGAGTAGAAGGAATGAACAAAGAGCTGGGAAGGTGAAGGTGGCAGTGGTGCTTCTTACTGGGAGTCAAGGAAAAGCTCTGTGGAGACAGTGCCATTTAGCCAGACCCTGAGGAATGGGTGGAAGTTTCTGTGTGGCAAAGGCCTGGACTGTGTATAGGGGATGGTGAGAGTAGAAGTGGAACACTTGCTATGTTAAGGATGGCAGAGAATAGATGGTTTAGCTGGAACTGAGACAAGTCAGGGCTAGATTATGAAGGGCTTTAAAACCCAAGCTCAGGAGTTGGGGTAGAAGGAGTCACCGTGGAGTGTCAGAGCAGATAAAGGCACGTTTACTTTATAGGAAGATGACGAGTGTCAGCATTGGGAGGTGGTTTGGAAGGGACGGGCAGAGGTGATTCTATTTGCCCAAGAATAGAGCAGGGGTTGGGAGAGGATGGCTTCGTTGTAGGAGATGGATCCCAGTAAGAATGTACAGGAAGAACGGAGGCACTAACATGGTGCTGAGATTTCTAAATTCAGGGTCTGGGGAGATGGTAAGGACATCAATGCCTTCATTTGCTGGACTTCATGAAGGCAGGGACTCTCCGCTTTGTTTACTGTTGTATCCACAGTGCCTGGAACCCAACAAATATGTGGGAACTGTGAGTGAATTAATGAGCACTCCCAGGAGGATGTACGTATTTGTTGTTTTGGCGGGGCTTAACTCCCAAAGTTAGGAGATGTGCTACCATTTCAGTGTTGGGACCGAACTCATGGCTTCATACACGCTAGGCTGCTGCGCTACCATTGAGCTACATCTGACCCTGCAATCTAGATTTCTCTCCCCTCTTCTTCCTTCCCCTCTCCTCCCCTCCCCACTTTCCTCCTGTTCCTCCCCTCACTCCCACTGCCCTTCCCCTTCCCCTTTTCTTGTAGTACTGGGGATTGAACCTACAGCTTTGCATATAAGCCTATATCCTTAGCCCTTTTTTATTTTGAGACAGGATCTTGCTAAGTTGCCCAGGCTGGACTCAAACTTGAGATCCTCCTGTCTTAGCCTCCCAGAATGTTGGGTTACAGTTGTGCTCCATTACATCTGGCCTAGATTTTTCTTGATCTTCCTAAGCCTAAAAGTGGAAGCAAATAAGTGAAATTTAATTTGTTTCTATCAGTAACATCATAACACTAGTTAGCCTGTTCTTTCCCCAAAGATTCTCTGTTTAGGATGTGCTGAGAAATGTTTGGCACAGGAAACAAACTCTGTCAGTCCCTGGTTTTTGTAATCATTCTCGTTCCAGCTATCTATCCCAGGTGAATTCCAGGACAAGGGGACTCCTAGTTCCCCACCATCCATCATCCTTAGCCATATTCCTGACACTCCACCGAGTACTCAACTGTTTACTGGGTTGCATCTGGCTGAGATGGAGAAAATATTTGAGGAGGGAATTGGCTCCAGTAGAGGTAAAGCCACACTGTGGACTCAGTCATTGTGACTGCTACACAGGATCCAGTATTTGGGGTATGTGGAGGGCTCAGATCTGACAGAGTTCCCCTTCCCCCATTTTGAAAGTACTGGGGAGTGAACCCGGGCTTTTGCACTGAGCTACAGCCTTAGCCTTTTATTTTATTTTTACTACTGTATTTATTTATTTTTTGGTACTGGGGATTGAACTCTGGACCTTCTGCTTGCGAGGCAGGTGGTGGCACCACTGAGCTAAATCCCTGGCCCCAGCCCTTTATTTTTATTTTATTTTTTAGCCCTTTATTTTTTGTGACAGGGTTCCACTAAGTTGTCCAGGCTGTGCTTGAACTTCTGATCCTCTTGCCTCAGCCTCCCAGAGTGGTGGTGGTACAGTCATGCACCACCACGCCCAGCTCTGACAAGTATATTGGTTTGTATCCAGCATCTTGTTTAAAACTTTTAATCATTGTGTAGGTTGTGTAATCATACTGGAAGCTATTTGAGATCTAGAAGAAAATACACCCAGTCCAAATGCACCTAGTCCAAAAACACCCACATGCAACCACTGTTTGCATTTGGGTGCCTTTTCTTCCAGTTTCATGTGTGTGGCTTATTATGTACTATTGTGGATGGTACTCCCACAGTCTTGGTTGCTTGATTCAACACACACCTCACAGTTTTGATGTGTCAGAATTGTGGGCATAGCTGAGCTGGCCCTTTGGCTCATAGTCTCTCAGAGCTGTAGTCAGCTGGGGCTGCAGTGTCATTTGTGGCTCTACCAGGAAGAACCTACTTAGAAGCTCACTCAGCTTGTTGGCAGAATTCATTCTAGGTGCAGTAGTGAGGGCTTCCATGTCTTCCTGGCTATTGGTAGGAGACTGCCCTCAGCTTCCAGAAGCCATCCACAGTCCTTGTTGTGTAAGACTTCAGCATAACTACTGGCAAGGCTCAACCCAAGAACGGAGAGAACAACTCTAGCAGGATATAAATCGCATATAACAGAATCATGTAATAATACGTACAGAGATTCATATACCCTGCCTTTCACCTCTGTCAGGATTTGCTGCTAGAAGCAAGTTACAAACCATGTCCCCCTCCCCCCCAGCAGGGGGGACAACAGGAAGATGTGAACACCAAGCTGACATCCAAGGGCTTCCTTAAGTCTCCCCACATCTGGCTGCATGTGTTTTTATTATATGTCTCTAATGACACTATACTGATGCTCCCTGACTTACTACAAGGGTACGTCCTGATAAATTAGTGTAAGTTGAATATTCAAGTTGAAATTCATTTAATACACCTAGCCTGTTAACCATTGCAGCTTAGCCTAGGCTAAATTAAAAGTGCTCAGAATACTTGCATGAGCCTACAGTTGGACAAAAGCATCTAACACAAAGCATATTTCATAATAGAGTATTGAATATCTCATGTAATTTATGAATATTGTGCTGAAAGTGAAAAACAGTGGTTGTATGTATATGATTATAAAGTTGAAAAAGCTTCAGTTGGGAACTATATTTATGTATGTCATTTCAGGCCCTTCTTAATGTTCATCTAAAGAATGTTTCTATGTTGCTGTATAGACTTCTGTCCTCTCATGGACTTCTATGCCATTGCTTGGCTCCAGGGAAAGCCGGGACTTGAGTGTGCTAGGCAAGGCTCTGCCACGGAGCCACACCCCAGCTCCTAAAATTAGTTATTAGCAAGTTCTCTACGTTGCTTCTCACTTAATATATGTAAATTCTGGAGATATTTTCATAAAAATATAATAAGATCTTTCTCACTTTTTAAAAACACTGATGGTGGTGTTAATTGGGTATTGTTCCAAGTGTTCTATGGCTTTCTAAACCTTCCCTTATTTTTTGCATGTTTAGGCTTTATTTTTCTTTCTGTAGAGCTTGATCTCTCCCTTGGGATGAAACTCCTCAGCATGCAGGTTCCTAGGGACACTTGGGGCCCGCGGGGGTGCTGAGTGACTTGAGTGCTAATGTTCTTATCTCTCTGAAGCCATGAACCTGGAAACTTTCATCAGGAGCATGAAGAAGGTTCTGAGCGATGTATCCAATGAGATGCTGGAGACACTGTTTTTCAAGGTGGATTCGGATGGTAATGGCTTCATCACCTGGGTGAGGAGGTGTCCCTGCTGCCTCAGGTGGCCGAGTGGAGCAGTGCTGGAGGGTACAGTCCATGTTGGAGGTGTGAAGATGGGCAGGCAGTGAGCATCAGAAAGCCTCCCTGTGTTCTGCTCTAGCTGGGGGAGCCTTGGGGTTCTGATTGCAACACATGCTCCCGGGGTGGGAGGAAGTACGATGTGTCAGTGGCTCCTGCATAAGACCTCATGGGGCATCCCCACCTGCCAATGTGGCTCTCCTGTGTGCTGCCTAGAGGGATCCAAATCAGTGCCATGGTCCTTTATGATCACTCAGGAATAGGCCAACCCTATGGCTGTAAAATCAAAAAAATGTCAGGGTTTTATGGAACAATAATAATAATAGTGATTTTGTTGTTTTCTGATTCTAAATATTCTTAGAGCTAAGCATGGTGATACACACCAGCAGTCCCTGCACTTGGAAGGCTGAGAAAGGAGGAATGTAAATTCAAGGCTGGCTTAGTCTACATAGTGAGACCTTTTCTCAGTGTCCTCCAACCCCCATACCACCTCAGAAAGGTCCTGCAAGGAGTACATAGCATTTAAAAATACAAAAAAGTACAAAACACTGAACCAGACACAGTAGCACATGCCTGTAATCCCAGCTCTTTGGGAGGCTGAGACAGGAGTACAAGTTCCAGCAGCCCAGCTTGGGCAACTCAGCCAAGACCCTGTCTTGAAATAAAAATTAAAAAATGGACTGAGGATGTAGGTCATTATGAAGACCCTGGGTTCAGTTCCCAGTACTGCAAATAAAAACGATACCTCCCCCCAAAAAACATAGTCTGATATATTTATGTAGAAAAGATGGCACTGCTAAACACTGTATTATTTTGCTTAAACCTCGCAGGAATCCTATGGGGCATGTGCTGTTGTTTGACAGGTTTGGGAAACTGAGTCAGAGAAGTTGGGGAACTCTTTCAGGGTTGCAGAGCTAGTTAGTTGGGCCAATATTCAGACTCGGAGTTCTGTCTCAAAGATCCTTGAGTTAGCTACTGTAGCATACCTCCACCTTGATTTAGGTATTCATTCCAGGTTTTATTTTTTATTTATTTACTTTTTATTTTTGGTACTGGGAATGGAACTCAGGACCTTGTGCTTGCCAGGCAGATGCAGCACCGCTGAGCTAAATCCCTGGCCCCCTGATTTTATTTTATTTATTTTTTGGGCGGGGGTTGAGACAGGGTCTCACTATGTAGTTGAGACTGACCTGGAACTCACTATGTATCCCAGGCTGGTCTCAAACTCACAGCGATCCTCCTGCCTCAGCCTCCCAAGTGCTGGGATTACAGGCATGCACTAGCACGCCTGGCCCCAGATTTTATTCTTTAAATTTACTTTTTTGGCTTATTTTTCTTAACATTGTATAATGAATATGTTTCTAGCATTCTCCATTGTCTACACAATGCTGCTGCTGCTCTTCCCTCCTCCCCCCACAGTATGGGAGGTTAAACCTAGGGCCTTGTGTACTAAGCAACCACTGTACCATAGGACTGCATCCTCAGCCCTGATTGCTTGCAGTTCTGGGGATTGAACCCGATAGATGTGAGCTGTATCCCTAGGGCCCACCCCTTTTTTTGAGACAAGATCTTCCCAAGGTGCCCAGGTTAGTATTGAACTTGTGACCCTTCTGTCTCGGCTTCCTCACTAACTAGGATTACAGGAGTGTGCCATAATGCTTGGAAAAATGATCCTTCATAATAGCTCCTTTTTTTTCTTTTAAACATTTATTTATTTTGTTAAAGCAGGGTCTTGCTATCTTTTTTTGGGGGGGTGTCTTACTATCTTGTCCAGGCTGGTATTGAACTCCTGGGCTCAAGAAATACCCCTTGCCTCAGCCTATTGAGTAGCTATACTACAAATGGACACCACCACACTTGGCTTCTGTTTCTGGTGATCGCTTCATATGATGGCTTGTTTTGGCAGTGTGTGTGTGTGTGTGTGTGTGTGTGTGTGTGTGTGTGTGTGTATCTATATTTTTCTTTTTCTTTTTTCTCACTGAGTTTATTGGTACATTTTAGGTATACAGTACAGTTACATTCATCATTGGGATCTTGTACCTTTACATGGCGGTTTTTTTTTTTTTTTTGGTACAAGGGATCAAACTCGGGTCCTTGTGCTTGCAAGGCAGGCGGCGGAACCACTGAGCTAAATCCCCGGCCCCAACATGGCATATCTTGGTTCTTACTTTTTCCCCCTACCTCTGCCCTTCCTTCACCCCCTCCACCCCTTTACAAAGTCTTTGTTTCCATTTTTTCCTTTCTTATATTTTTTCTTTTTCCTTCTTTCCTTTCCCCTACCTTTCCCACTTCCTCTACCACTTTAGACCTTTCCTTCCTATTTCACATTATCAATTATACAGTTTGAACCTTATTTACACTTTCAGTTTTTCACACCAGAGAAACTATTTGGTGTTTACGCATGTGTGTGCTATTTATTTCACTTGAGTATTGGCCCTAGCTATATTAACATGAGGCTGGTCAGTATAGCCTAGAATTGTCCTAGTGGCCCTAGGCTTATGGTTAACTTGGTATGTGAACCCACATCTGTTGTTAACTTGCTATGTGAATTCAGGCAACTCACATATACTTACATGGGTCTTATCCATAAAGTAGAAGTGAATAAAGAACTTACAATTGAGATGCCAGGTGTGGAGGTGAAGGCAGATTTATTTGCATTACAGATAGAACTAAGGAGGGAGGGGATGCCTTCGTGTCTTTACAGATGCCTGTGAATAACCCTTCCCACATTCAAGAGTCAAGCACAGGCTGTTGCTTGGCCACTTACCCTGGCCAGTGCTTGCGAAGCAGCCTCGAGAACTCCCAATGGCTAATGCGGAACCCCCTCCCTCCCTTGCCTTGCTTTCTGAGGCAGCCAAAGTATATGGACTACGTGATGCATGAGTTCCAGGGCCTGGAAGAGATGAGGAGGAGCCAGTATCGCCTGCGCTTCCACCTTCCTATGCAGATCATCCCCCTGTAAGGAGTGCGTTCCTGGGCTTGGGGGAAGTGACTGAACCAGGGGCTGGGGTAGCCTCCCCCTTCCTAGGTCCCAGGGATGCCCTTTGCCAGTCTTCCAGGGTTTTTGTGGGTTTTTCTCCCCCTTCTGCTTATCTACTCACCCTGCTCAATGTATTCATTCCACTAAGAGTTTCTGGCATCATTGGTTTCGTTGTCTATTTGTAGGATATCCCGGGTAGTTTTTGGAGTCCTGGTTTGGTAGGCATGAATTTTTTATTTTGTTTTGTTTTTGAGGCATGGTCTTGTTTTGTAGTGCAGGCTGCCCTAGAACTCACTGTAAAACCCAGGCTGGCCTCAAACTTCTGGCAATCTTCCTGCCTCTGCCTTCTGAGTGCTGGGAGTGGTGGCATGTGCCACCATGGCTGGCTTCATGAATTTGTTGAAGTACTCTGTCATGAAAAGACATTATTTCTCCATCTTTTTGTTTTGTTTTGTTTTGAGACAGGGTCTCACTGTTGTAGTTGAGACTGACCTGGAACTCACTATGTAGTCCAGGCTGGTTTTGAACCCACAGCAATCCTCCTGCCTCAGCCTCCCAAGTGCTGGGATTACAGGCATGAAGTTCTTTTTCTTATGGCGGTTTGAGATTCTATCTGTCTTACTTATCTGTGGTTAAATTCTTTCCCCATGGTTGGAAAGTTTTCTGCTGTTATTTCTGTAAACAGGTTTTTTTCTTTGCCATTTGTGTTATCTTCTGATTTTTCACTAATCTAATTAACATTAGATTAGTCTTCTTTGTACCATCTAGCACAAAGATGTTGGATTTGTTTCCATGATCTTTTGTTTTTGTTTTTTTCCATGATCTTTTGTTTTTAAGGTATCTCTGAGTATATGGTCTACTGCACCAGCCCTGTCATCTAGTTCTGGCACTGTTCTCACACTAATCATTTTTGTTTCCCATATTTTTCACTAAAATTTTTGCTCTCCTAGATTTCTGTTTGGTACCTTTTCATGAGCTCTGATTCTTTGCTAGACTGGTCATTCATGTTTTGTATTATTTTGTTTAGCTCATCTAGCATTTTATTTGTGTCTTCTGTAAGCTCAATGATCATTTATTAAGTCCATTATCTTTGATATCAGGAGTTTGGCTTTGGATTTCCTCCCCCTTGATACCTCATGGATCAGCCTTGGAGGCATTGGAGTTTCTGGAGGCATTTTATTGCATGTTTGTTCATAGTGTGTGTGTGTGACATGCATGCGTGCTGAGAATTCAGGATCAATTATAGTGAAGAGAATTTGTTGATAGTGTGGAGATCTCTTAAGATAGTATCTGCTTTCCACTAATGTACTCTGGGCATGACTAACTGTAGGCTCTTGCCTCTGTCCCAAGACTAGACCACCTTCATTAATGTGGGGAGGGGAGGATGTAATTGGCCCAGCACCGGATTCTCTGGAAATGAACTGCAGTATTGTTTTGGCACAAAGGCAAACCAGATATTGGCATACAATAAAAACCCATTAATAGCAATAGTTATGCCATGTTAGCAATAGCAATGAAATCAGCAACAATAATAGCATCAAAGACAAAGTAGATGTTGAACCAATAAAAGCTACTAGTGTACCTCACTTAGCAATAGAAAAGAGACCTATGATGATAATATAGATACAAAGATAAACCAAATGTTGACATGCATTAAATATCTACTAAGTACAACAGTTCTGTCACCACTGAAATTGAAAAGAATTCAACAATAATAACATAGAGTCAACTAACAGAAGAAGAGATTAGAAGCAAGGCTGGAGGACGAAGGAGTATTATGCAAACCCTGGAAAACTGGTGAAGACTACAGAAAGGAAAGAGAGAAGGAAGAAATAAAGACAAGAACAGAACAGAACAAAAACTAGAAACAATGTTCACACTTAAATAAAAACAAGAACAGGGTAGGGGATTTAGCTCAGTGGTTCCACTGCCTGCCTTGGCAAGCACAAGGTCCCAAGTTCAATCCCCGGTACCAACAATAACAACAACAAAAAAATAAAAACAAGAACAAACAATGGAGCCAAAACAAAACAAATCTATTCGAGTTGTGTTTCTGCTGTCACTGGTAGACAAATTGGGCACAGATTCGTGTTCATTATTCCCAACAAGCCAGCTGTAGATTTATGGCAGGGTAGGGGGTAATCACAGCAAGCCTACACCTTTACTTCTGAAAGTCAGGCTGCTTTCTGGCTGTGAGGCTGAAACCCAGTTTGTTCAGCTTGCAGCAATCTGGGTGCCTCCTGCCGCCTTGAGCTGGCTCCCCGCTGGGTTGAATGTAGCTCCTGGACCTCCTACTGGGTGGAACTCTTAAGTTCTGCCTCACCCTGGTGAAGCCATCCTGCAGCTCGCTGCTCTGTGCTCTGAGCTCAGTTGGCTCTTCTCCTGGATGGCTACTGGCTGATCACCCTCCTGAATAACTGAACACAAATAACTCACCAGCCGCTTTAGTCCACTATGTCCACTGCTCTGTGGAGGCCTGTGGAGTTGCCAGTAGTCACTTGCATCTTGCAGGCTCGAGCCTCCCCACACAGTGAGTCAGCGTTCAGGGAGGAAGTGCTGCTTGCCACCTTTCTTCTTTGTTGACGTTCTTCTCCTTGCTCTTCCTGTGGGCTTCGTTTTTCACTTTAGAGCCTCGCTGGGTCCTGGGGACCTACTTCCCTCCTTCTCTTCCTCACATTGCTATATTCCAGCATCTGGACACCAAATCTCAGAGGCTGTTTCCTCTGCCCTTCACCACTCCATCTTCCCAGGAGTCAGAATCTAGTCAGCTAACTATCTGAAGATTGATGATGCTTACTAGTAATAATGAAAATGGATGACCAGGGATTTAGCTCTGTGGCTCCGCTGCCTGCCTCACAAGTGCAACGACCCGAGTCAGATCCCTGGTACCCCCCACCCCAAAAAAAGAGGAGAAGGTGGGGAAGGGGAAATAAAGTAAAGCTTAAAAAAACAGGATGAGGAGAAGAAAATGAGTTAAAGGATCCTATTAAGGAGTAAAAGAAAATAGATAAAAGTAGGCCAGGCATGGTGGTACACACCTATAATCCCAGCACTCGGGAGGCTGAGGCAGGAGGATCGCTGTGAGTTTGAGCCCAGCCTGGGCTACATAGTGAGTTCCAGGTCAGTCTCACCTACATAGTGAGACCCTGTCTCAAAACATCAACAACAACAACAAAAAAAATAGAAGTAATGGAAAAGAATAAAAAAAGAAACAAACCCCACACAGATTAAATCCGGCCAGGTCTCCAAAACTTAATGAAGAAGGGCCGAGATTTAGTTCAGTGGCACTGCACCTGCCTTGCAAGTGCAAGGCCCAGCATTCGATCCCTGGTGCCAAACCAACCAAACAAAACCCCAAATTTTGTGAAGAAAACTTAATGAAGGAAAAGTAAATGAGTCCAAAAATTTCCTTTTTTTTTTTTTTGGTACTAGGGATCAAACTCAGAACTTTGTACTTGCAAGGCAGATACGGTGCCATTGAGCTATCCCCAGCCCTCCTCTCTCTCTCTTTTTTTTTTGTTGTTTTTGTTTTTTGAGACAGGGTCTCCCTATGTAGTTGAGACTGACCTGGAACTCGCTATGTAGCCCAGGCTGGTCTCGAACTCACAGCGATCCTCCTGCCTCAGCCTCCTGAGTGCTGGGATTACAGGCGTGCGCCACCATGCCTGGCCCTCCTCTCTTTTTTAATGAGTCATTTTTTTCCCGTTGGATCTTTTTTTTCTCTCTCATTGAGTTTATTGGTACATTTTAGGTATACAGTACAGTTGCATTCATTATTGGGATCTTGTACCTTTGCATGACAGGTCTTGGTTCTCATTTTTTCCCCTTGTCCCTACCCTCCCTTCACCCCCTCCTCCCCTCCCTGTTTACAAACACTTTATTTCCATTTTTTCAATTTCTCTTATTTTTTTCTTTTCCTTTATTACTCTTCCCCTACCCCCCTCATCTTTAGTATTGGAATCCACTAGGTATGAAGGAGGGATAATGAGTCACTACTAAGTTCTATTTTGTTTCCATACTCCTGTTTTTGTGTGTGAATGCCAAGTCCTGCCCTACTTTTCCTACTGCATGTGCTTGGCCAGTTGTGTTTAACCTAGGGGTCTATTCTCTTCAGTTTCTATGTCTCTGCATCTTAAGTTACTGCTTTCTCTGCCTAGCTTTACAGTTTGTGGGCTTGCGAGGTACTCCCTTGTTCCAGAAGCCCCTCTGTCTGTACACCCCAGGCTGTGGCATCCATCCAAGCTGAGGTGTATCTCTGATCATGGTGGCTGATAGGGAAAGCAGACAGACCACTAGTTCTGTGCTAGATGTAGGCAGTGGGTATAGGGGTGGGGAAAGCAGTTCTCTGGGCTTAATGCCAGAACTTTCAGACTCCGCACTGTCCAAAAACTACCCCAGAGTGGCCTGGCTTTTCACTGCGGAGAGCAGGACCCTTGGGTTCTTCCTGGCCTGACCTTAAACCTCTGAGAGGTTCTGTGTGTAACCCTTGTCCTCTGCAGCTGTCTCTCACCCAGTTACTGTGGTAGGGTGACCCCAGAAACCCTGAAGTGTAGAGGTTCTGTCACTATTAAACAACCCCTCCCCAGATGGCTCCAGATGGCTCCTGATTAGACCATCTCAAGTATAGCAGGTACTGTAATGGATTTCTTCACCCACTCGGGTTTGCCATGTGGAAGGATTTACTTGAGAGTAAAAACCCATGCTGGTTTTGCAGTTTACAATCACTGTGGGCTTTTCTTGAAGCTAGTGAGGGCAAGGGCCCTCCCTTGTTCCTCCCTGCAGCTGGGCTTACTTCATGTTGGTGGTGTCAGGTCCCCCTTCCCAGGAGCCAGGATTAATGGTCCACATTGGAGTTTTTAAAAATTTTTCTCTACATTGTGTTGTTTCTCTGTAGTCTCTACTTTTCCTGTTGGTGCTCTTTTTGTTTTTTTGGTACTGGGGATTGAACTCGGGTCCTTGCGCTTGCAAGGCAGGCCACCGAACCGCTGAGCTAAATCCCCAGCCCTCCTGTTGGTGCTCTTAACCTGGAGATCTACTTCTTTTTCTTCAGTAAGTAGTTGTTTTCCAGATGTTTTGATTCCAGGTCTGGGGGAGGCTGTATTTTACTGCCAGTCTTTACTCTGATATCTAAAATACATTTATTAAAACAGCATAGGAGTGGAAAGAATAGAAGATTGTATGGCCACATTATACTTTGTATAATGTCGTCATGCCTTCACTGGTCTTTCTATTTCTTTGGGATATTTAGACCCCATGCAGGTTTAAAGATCCTGAGACAAAAATGTCCAAAGCTTGTTCCTTATTTTTTCCTTCTTATTTGCTCAACATATAAACCCAAAGACCACTTTCAATTTGATGGAGAAAATAGCCCAATAGTGTTTATTTGTCTTCATGAAAGGGTCACTTTTAGAATTGGCTCACCTTTACTGACCCTAAGTCACTGCATAGCAAGACACTTAATGCGGTCCTGGAAGATGGAGGAGCTATCCCCCTGCAAATGAGGAAACCAAGATGTCAGTTAGTGACTGTCTGAGATGACAGTTCCCTGGGGCCGTCTTCACTCATCTGAGCTCTCATTTGTCCTGTCTGCACCTCACAGGCTAGAAGGGGCATCTGAATCTGTTCCTCATCTGTCCAGAGCAATGGGCCAGCAATAGGAGATACATAGTCCTCTGCTCTTCTGTAGTGTTGCAACAGCAGCCGAAGTTCACATTCATTGATTATTTTTGGCTGTGGGTCAGATGATGCTCATGGCAGGGCTTGGAAAGGGCTTTGAAGGAGGGCAAAGGCACCTGGTTTAGTTGTAGCTCTGCTGGTAACGAGGACATGACTCCAGGCAAGTGGGCATCCTTGGGTCCCTGTGAGAGTCCAAGGATTGGGCAGATGTAGTGGGAAAGTATGTGCAGTGCCATATCAGGAAGTCAACATGGTGACCCTTAATAGCCAGCTGGCTTGTGAATTTTGGGGTAAGAGAGAGGCCACTGGTAGGAGTATTAAAGTTTTCTGTGAAGGCTGTAGATGACATCCTGTGATACCAGCTCCCCCCAGAAGCTGTTTGCTCTGCTCGGTGTATGTCCTGGAGGTGAAGTGGGGGATGCTTGGAGCCCTAATTCCTCCCAGTCTTGGACCCCATTCTCTTCTCTACCCCAGAGTATTAGGTTGATAGCTGGAAAGTCCTATTCCTCCTCTTCAGTCACAGGCCCCACTCTGTTCACTCTCTGTGGGTCATTTTCCCTATAACAGCAGCTGTGCAGAACGTCTTTACTCCTTGTCTCTTCTGTCCACCACATCGTGAGGGAGTTGGCTTATTTCTCAGGATGAGCTTTTGGAGCTACATCTTATACCAGCACCATGTTTGGCTCCCTCCCTCCCTCCCTCCCTTTTTTCTTTCCTTCCTTCCATGCTAGGGATGGAACCTAGGGTCTTGCAAATACCAGGCCAGTGCTCTACACCCAGCCCGCAGTGGTTCTCCTTTTCTCATGGCTGTCACTGATCTGGTGGATCTCTAGCCCATCTGGAGGAGTGGGTGGAGTCCCACGTCCCTGGAGCCAGCCTCAGTTTCCTGGTCAGAACCTGTGAGTGTGTGAGTCCGGGTGCTCCTCCTAGCTTCTAACCTTCCTTCTCTGTGGTTCTTTGTCCTGATGCAGATGCCCCCACCTTTTTTGTTTTTACTTGTTTTTATTGTCCATAGACGGCGTGGGTGTGAGATTGTGAAAGTAGAGTTTTTAATCCAGCGGTTCAAGAAGATCGGGCGTTTCCTGACTGTCACCAGGGATGGGGTCCTGCAGTTCTGGTCTGAGTCCTTCTTGCCGATTAGCTCCTTTAGGGTGAGTGGGGCTAGCTCAGGTGGGGAGGGGCTGCAGCGCTGTTTCTTAGTAAAGGTAAAATGTGTCCAGCATGGGATTGCTTTTGAAATCCTGATCAGAGCAGCCTGAGCTTGTGGTCACGGGACTTGGGTGGCCCAGGTTCTGGCTTCATCTTGGGAGTCTTGTGCTTCTCTTCTGCTAAGCAGGACTTCACTGGGATGTCTAGTAGATACCTCTAAGCAAGCTTGTGCAAGCAGCGTGTCGCTAGCTCCCCTGGCCACAGGGCTCATTTCTCTGGAGTCCCTGTCTCGGTGAGTAGCATCATTGTCCAGCAAAGCGCCTCTGCTAGAAGTCAGCCTCCTTTCCTTTCTCTGTCACACTCAGACCTTCCTCAGATCCTGAAGATTCAAACCTTTTGCCTGGGCCAGGCAGGAAATACCCCAGTTGTGAGTGTGGGCTCTGGAGCCAAACCACCAGGGTTAGAATCCTGGCTGTACCACATATCGGCTCTGTGCCCTGGCCAAGGCACTATGTAGCTCTTTATACCTCAGATTGAATGTGGCAGGAGCAGGTTAGCAGGCGCTGTGCTCCCGGAATGCTGTCTTCCTGGGCCCCAGCATCCTCTGCTTTTCCTCTTTCAGCTCAGGAAACTCCACAACCAGCAGATGTGGGTCATTGACCTGGTGTGCTTACACAACATGAACCTCATTGCAGTTTCATCTACTGAACTGAAGATAGGTGAGTCCCTGGGGCCTCCTCGGGCCTGCTCACTACCTCTGGGATCCACACATTTGCATTTGGTAGAGATCTGTTGGCTGAGTAACTATAAGATTGGTAAGAGCCCTCTGGGAGGGCTCAGTGTCAGGTAGAGAGGCCTTAGTAAGCAGGTGCTTAGCGAGAGGCTGCATGTGATAGATGCCACAAGAAGGACTGGGGGTGGTCACTGTTACTGACTTCCCGGCCCCACTTTTTTGTTTGTTTGTTTTGTTTTTTGAGACAGGGTCTCATTATGTAGTTGAGACTGACCTGGAACTCACTGTGTAGCCCAGACTGGTCTCAAACTCAGCGATCCTCCTGCCTCAGCCTCCACAGTGCTGGGATTACAGGCGTGCGCCACCATGCCTGGCTCCCAGCCCCACTTTGTAGACAGGTGATGCTTAGTGAATGCTAAGTGAATATGTGAATAATGGACAGAATCAAATGTACAAGCTGGAAACTGCAACAGATTGTCTTTAGTCCTGATTTTAGTCCTAACTTTATTCCCTTCTCTCTTGCTGCTCCCTTCATCTTACTTGAATAGCACTGAGGCCTTGTCTTGCCTGCTGTACTGCCTCTCAAGGCTGGTAGCAGCTAGGAGGAGCTCAAACTAGGGATTGAATCCAGTGAGGACTGAGCTACATTTCCACTCCTCTTTATTTTGAGACGAGGTCTTACTAAGTTGCCCAGGCTAGCCTTGAACTTAAGATCCTCCTGCCTCAGCCTCCCAAGTAGCTGGTATTACAGGCATGAGCTGATTAGCTTTTAAAATGCATGATGAGCTTTTAAAATGCCTTTCTGAAGAGAGCTTTCAATGTATCCCATTGCTCTTAGGATGGAAGTAGGATCTTTAACTTGGTTCATGGGGTCCTGCTGTCCCCTGGTCTTTTTTTTTTCTATATGCTGCGGCCTCCTTTCACATCCTCCAGTGGGCACCATGGCCTCTGCTGTCCCCCCTGCACCTCTCTCCACTACACAGCTTCTAGTTTTCCTTTGGGATTTATCTCATGTGTCACTTCCTCCAGGGAGCCCTCCGTGACCACCTGTCCAAGTCAGGTTCCTCTGTTAAAAGGATCTTCTGATGTCATCCCTCTCCCCTTCAAGGTCCCATTCGCGTGTAGTCACACACTTAAGTGTCATTCTGTTTTGCATGTTTCTTCCTTCAGACCAGAAGCGTTGTGAGTAAGGGACTGCAGCTGTTCTACTCTGCTTGGCCTCGGTGCCTGGTGCCTCCTTGAGGCTTGGTGCTTTTCAGTGGATGGTGGGTGAGTGAGGGAAGGATTACACTTGTAAAGTCAGGGAGAGGAGATTCGTGTGTGAAACTATAGCTCACAGGGCAGGGCTAAGAGGGAGGATAGAGAGCAGCTGTTCTGGAACAAGACCTGGTTTTGCCACTCTGTCACTGTGTGTCTTTGGGCAATTATTTTACCTCCCAGTGCCTCAATTTAAAAGGGGGCTAAAATACACGTTCCCAGGGTGAGTGTGATTTAGTGACTCCTCTAGGTGTCCAAAGTTCCTGGTGTACAGGCTGGCATATAGTAGGTGCTGACTGCATTGTCAGTAGTGAACTCATCATGAGGACAAGTTGTGTGGTACAGAGAACGCAGTCAGTCAGCAAGGGCTTGAGCAGTCTGGGGTCATGGGGCTCCAGGAGTGGTCTCCAGGTCCTCCTGAGAACTTGGCATCAGCCCCATCTTAGGGAGTACCCTGTTACCATAGCCCCCCTGGCTGGGCAGCTATTGTTTCTACTTGGTGCACTCGGGCCAGGCCAGAGGTGGACGTGGCACCAGTGTGAGCTGCAACCTCTGTGACTCCACCCAGCCAGGCCTCCTTTTGTGGCCTGCAGCTCCAGGCCCTGTAGGGAGGCAGAGGGGTGAGGGCCTTCCATTCAGAAGAGGACGTCAGCGCCGGAAGCTGAACGGAGGCCCCATTTGTTGGAAGGAGCCAGGACTAGGGGAGTTTAAATTTGAGGCAGTTGCACATAAAGGCCCCATTGGAGGCTTTCATATTTTCAAGAGAGAGTCTGCTGGGGGCTGGTGCAGGATCCATGGTGAGGGAGGGGTGAGCCTGCAGGAAGCCAGCTCTGCACACTCCCCTTTCCCTCGGGATGTCCCCTGTGATGCATGTGTGTATAATGCACTTACTTGGCCTCTGTCTGGGTTTTGCAGCAGTGGGGTGAGGAGCTGGGTGAGGTATGAAGATGTGGGCTGTTTTTGTCTGTCCCCAGCACCTGCAGAAACGTACAGAATGAGTGTAAATGGGTAGCTGGAGCCAGAGGGACAGAGGCTTCTAGCTATGTGCAGCATCCAGGGCTCAGCACTTGTTCCTTTACTTGCTTGCCACAGCTGTAGCACTCAGCAAACACCTGCAGAGCCCCAGTACCGTGCTAGGCACTGTGGTGACTACAGGACTTCAGGTGCTTCTTACCCGCATTGAGCCCATCTTCCAGAGAAGAGGCAGAACCTGGGGCCCAAACAAAACAAAAATTACTTAGAAGTTGAGATAAAGTGGATGGGAGTGAATGGCAGCAGGATCCAGGTTAGGTGGGGAAGGCTTTTCTGAGGAGGGACGTTGAGCTGTTCTTGGAATCTAGGGTGTTCTAGCTGGAGCTGGTGAGTGAGGAGGCCCAGTGTGAGTTAAGCTTGGTGTGTCTGGCCTGAGAGGCCAGCATGGCTGGAGCCTGATGGGCTGGGTGGAGGCAGCAGCAGTGGGGGCCCCATAGAGTGGGAGAGCTGGGATTGTGGAGGTCCACAGGCTCCTCACATCAGCCCTTGCGGGCTGTGGTCAGGCACTGGGAATCTTACTCTGGTTGCACGGAAGCTGTGGGGGAGTTTGCAGCGGTTTCTGGCTGAGTGGGTTTATGGATTCCTTCTAAGGGCAAAGGTTGAAGGGCTGAGAGCGATGCGGTGAGGCTGCTCACCACCCCCAGACCCCACGCTGGCCCATGTGTGTGCCCTCTCTTCTGTCTTCTCCAGAGTTCTTTGATATCAGTAACTATAAGTGTGTCCGGGCCTTCACCTTTACTGAACTGGACAGCTGCATCCTGGTCATGGACTACTGGTGAGTCCCAAAGGAGTAGGGTGAAGGGTCTCGGCAGCTGCCACATCCCTTGAGCAGGTAAGGCTGGGGCCACAGAGAGGCCCTTGGGAATAGGCTTGGGAAGATCTGTTCCCCACTGGTTGTGGGTCCTGTGTCCTTTTCCCCTCAAGCTGCTGCTCTCTTGGGACCACCTTTAGGATCGCTCTGGCCTGGAGTCATTGCTTCCTCTCCTTCCCCCACGTAGCCATCCAGCCCTGTTCCTGATGTGACTGAGCACTCTGGGACCATCGTAGTCTTAAGGGGAGATGATTTGTCAGAGAGCAGTCAGAGCACTAGGGATTAATTTTGGTCAAAACAAAATACTGAATTCCGGTTCAAGGGTGGCCTGGATCTGGGCCATGGGGCTTGTGCTTTCAGCTTGGCACCGTGGTCTAGGGCAAGGATGGGAGGTTGATGGGAAATGTCCTTATTCTCAAGGTGGAAGGGCTTGTTGGAGGGGACCAGGACAGGTGAGGCTCCACAGCCTCCTCTGTCTCCATCTTTCCTCAGGTCTGATTATCACAAAGGTGTGTTCTGCCTTGGGGACACCAAGGGCAATGTCATTATCTTCACCTCCGACAATGTGGCCAGTGGGCTGTTCAACCCTCACATCCTTCCCAGGATCTCCAAATGGGGTAACTGAGAGGCTCGGGAATGGGCCTGGACCTGGAGTGAGGGTAGGAGCAGCTGCTAAGCTGCCCAGGTCCCACAGCCCTCTCCCTCTCCCTGCTCTGGCCCTGAGAGCTCAGAGGGTAGGCAGGCTGCTGGGCTTAGCAGTTTCCTGTAGGCAGGAGCTTGTGCAAGTTGGTGGGGTGCTGCAGGACTGTCCTCAGCCAAGAAGAGTGATGCATGTGGCCATGACTGGGGAAGTCCCTGTTGCCTCTGGAGGCTGGGCATCCCAAGTACTTCCTCAAGTGGTGTTGTGAGTTGGCTTCTGCTCTTGTTGGACTTGAGCTGCTTTTGGGTGGGTGGGATGGGGGACCTGGGAGACTGCCTGACTTGGAAGGAACTTGAATAAATTTGGGTGTCTGCCTTCTGTAATCTCTGCCTGCTGCCATAAGAGGCAGCTATTGTTATAGCCCCTTGAATCCACTTGTAGTGGGCTTGCAGCTTGTAAGTGATGGCTGAGATCTGAAACCAGCTCATCTATACTTTAAACCATTTGCTGGGCTGTGTCCCAGATTGACTAAGGAAGCTGTTTGGAGCTGCTCTGTTTAGGGACATTGGGTTTGTAAGGGCCACATAGCCTTGAACAACATTCTTCCCACTTGGGACTTCCTTTGCAAGCTTCCTGCTGACCTTGGAGATGGGCCTGGTGATTGCTGAGGTGAACTGCTTGGCATAAACCCCCAACTCCCCACCTTTCTTTCTTCCACATTCCCTGGGAGTTGCTGTCAGATCTGAGGCCAGACTGTCTGGCATTTCCAACCTACCTCCCTAAATTGCTCCTAAGGGTGGGCGCATGCCTGTCCCTCAGCACCACGGGTTCCACCCATCTGAGTCCAGCTTGCCTTCCCTGGAGGCTTATCAGCTGCTGCCCTTAGGTGGTTTCAGCAGTCTGGAGACTCTCAGTCCCGTGAGGACAGGACTGTGTTCGTGCAGTGCCTGGCACAATGGAGTTGCTTGTTCCATAGTGCATGCAGTTCTAGTTCACAGAACTGTGCTTTCTGGAAAGGAGTATCTGTATCTACAGGCACAGTGGCAGATGTCTGGAGGACTACTTTTCAGGATGAACACAACCTGTACAGTTCATTCTCCACTCCGGCAAAGTTGGTGCTTGGTAGTAGAATCAGCTTACTTAGACTGCAGCACCTATGAGAGTGTGGGCCCTGAAATCTTATTACCAGCAGGGAATGCTGGTGACAGTGGAGAGTAACTGGAGTGGAGACATTTGCTGAGCTCACCAAGTCACAGCAAGGTTCCAGTAAGTAAGTGTCTGACCAGCAAATCTTTTTGAGACATGAAGGAGTTACACTCCCACTCTACCTGTCACCTGAGACTTGCTTGTCAAGGGGGCAGACTGATGATGTGGACCTCAGTTTTTTTCTTCTGTCAGATCACTGGGTCAGCGTTTCCATGCAGAAACTCTTAAATGAGAAGTCCATTTTGTACAGAAGTTACTGCCTGCCGGTAAGTACTTCTTTCCTTTGCCTATTACCATGCTAATTATACTGTATCCTTATGCATGTACCATTCACAAATAAATGCACAACGTGGATTTATGCCCTGGATTCAATCTTAGTCCTTGGAGCTTGGGCTGTAAAAACAGGATGGAGGCAGCTGCTGGGTCCCATGGGCCCATCTAGAGAATACATGAATATCTCGAGTGTGGCCATGCCTCTCACATCTCATACCTATACCCTGGTCCTGCAGACCTCACCTTTCTTCTGGATCACTGCAGGGCTGCTAGCTGGTTTCCTCACTTCCTTTCTCTGTCAGCACTTTCTCCATTCAGCTGCTGGGGGAATTACGCAGTAAATATACAACTTTGGGGCCAGGGATTTGGCTCAGTGGCACTGTGCCTGCCTCGCAAGCTCAAGGTCCTGAATTCAGTCCCTGGTACCAGAAAACAAAACAAAACAAAAAACCAGAAATACAACTGTGTCACTGTAGTAGCTTGTCATCGTGTCTGAAACAGAATCTCAAGTCCTTACCCTGACCATCAGTGCTCAATGTGATCTGGCCCTTGGCTTGCTCACAGTTTTGTTTTCTATATGTCTTATTCACTCTGCTGCAGAGTTGCCCTGACAACCCAGGCCCTTTTCTACTTCAGGGCCTTGGCACATGCTGTTCCTTTAGGCTGCAGTACTCTTCCCCTATGTTTCAGGATACCACTCTTCAGGCCCTAATCAACTAACTAGAACAACTGCTGCCCGCCTCAGCCTTTGTCCTCTCACCCTGCAGTGTTTACCACTTCCTACTTTGTATTGTCCATCCATCATTCTTGTCCTGTCATCCTCCTGAGATTGACCACCTCCCTGAGGACAGGGATTGTGTACATGCATTGTGCTCTGTGTTCTGTCTCCAGTTCTTTTTTTTTTTTTTTAATTGTTTTTTTGAGACAGGGTCTCCCTATGTAGTTGAGACTGACCTGGAACTCACTATGTACTCCAGGCTGGTCTCGAACTCACAGCGATCCTCCTGCCCCAGCCTCCCAAGTGCTGGGATTACAGGTGTGTGCCACCACACCGGGCTGTGTCTCCAGTTCTTGAAACATTCCCTGGGATTTGTGGTTTCTAGGACTTTTGTTGAACAGATGAAGATGAGATGCTCAGGGCAAGTCTGGTCCAAAGCTCCTAAGTGCTTCTTTCAGAGCAGGGCGGATCCTCTCAGGAAAAGGCACTCGCCTCCCCTTCCTTTCCTTGTTTCTGGGAATCTCATCTTGGGCTTTGTTTTCTGCCTGAGTTTCTGAGTGTCCCATGTCTCCTTCAGTGCCTTGGGATTCGTGCCATCATTGTCACAGGTGTTCAGTGAGATAGTGACCTAAAACCTAGCCTGATGACTTGCACATGTGAGGCCCTGAATCATGTGTAATGATTACATTTATCTAATTGGCTTCCTCCACCCTTCACTCTGCTGCATTCCTGTCCCAGAGAGGATGGACATGGGAGACTGAGTGCCGTTCCAGGTTATGAGCAGAGCTGGGGACCCAGAGTCAGCCACGGGGATCACCTCCTCTGTCTGTGTGTGTGGTGTGTATTTCAACTTTCTTCTCTTGCTAGAGTGGCAGCAGAATGCACATTTTCACTCTTGCCATTCTACAAGCACACTGTGTGAACAGAGAAGGTGACAGTGGGCCCATAGCACAAGTCTCTGGTGGTGGAAGCTCCCTGGGAGGATGGACTGGAGCCTGGGCAGCATTGAATCCATCTTTTCTCCCCCTTAGGAGAATGGTACTAACATGGACTAACTTCACTTGTCCTCTGACTTATAAAGCGCAAAGGATGCTAGGCTCATGTACTTACAAGCATTTTTTGAGTCAAGGGATGGCCGTACTCCCCTGATTCCTGGACCTGGGCTGTGACTGTGGCCCGTAACCTTTTCCAAGCTGTGGTCACTACGGGAAAGATCTTAAATCCCCTCTTTGCCCTACCCGTGGCCATGTTCCAGGGGCCAGGCCTGGACCACAAGTGACTTGGGACTATCTCCCACTACCACCCCTCTGTTCCCTAGGCTCTCCATACCAACTGGTGTCAACAGGTCAAGTTTGTCCCCCAGCTAAACATGGTGGTCTCCTGTTCGGCTGTGGAGAAATCCTCCATGGTGCTGACAATGCTGCCATCCAAAGACCTGGAGAAACCCAAGTAAGGAGCACCTCTACTTCAGTGACAGCAGTTGTAGGTGGGAGGAAGTGGGCAGCAAGCACACCTTGGGCGGTTCTGGGTTCACTTTATCTGCATGTGGGCATCCCTGCAGAATGAGGACCCACCTCCGTGTTACTGGCATCTGTGAAGGGCAGGGCAGTGTTCTGAGGGCCCAGGGAAGCAGTATGTTTGAGCATGGGCTGTGGACTCCAAGTCATCATCCCAGTATTGCCATAAGGCAGGAATACAATCGGCCTCTTTGACCACCAGTTTACATGTATAAGTCACCATAGAAGCTGGCACAGAGGGAGAAGGTAGTCAGGTGACATTTCTGAATGAGGAAGTGCACAATGAGTTGCTTTAACTCAGTGAGCCTCGGTTTTCCTACCTATGAAAGGAGTTGGGATGACAGCACTTACTTCACTTATGTCAGAGATTCCTTGAGTGAATATTACTTCATAGGGAGCACTGTTCTTTGGAGATGGTTCTCATCTATTTTGTTCATTCTCATTTCCTCTATTGTGGAGTGAACTTTTCCTTTCCTTTCCTTTTCCTTTAAAAAATCAATTAATTTTTTTGCAGGGCTGGGGGTGGAACCTGAGGGTTTTGCACATACTAAACAAGTGCTCAGTGGTAGAGCACTTTTTATACCCTAGACCTTTCTTCTTTAAAAAAAATCAGTTTTTAAAATTTGATGTGGTGGTGCATGCCTGTAATCCCATTACTCAAAAGGCTGAAGCAGGAGGATTTTTAATTTGAGGCCAGCCTGGGATATATAGCAAGATTGAGGCCAGACTAAGGTACATACTGAGACTGTATTTTAAAAAAATCAATTATTGGCCCGGGGATTTAGCTCAATAGTGTTGTGCCTCATAAATACAAGGTCCTAGGTTTGATCACTGGTACAAAAAAAAAAAAATTATTGATTGGCAGGGGCATGTAGGCCCCAGCCAGAGGCCCCCTGGCACAGGACCCAGAAGGCCATCATTCTGAGCCCAGAAATTGTACCGTGGTAAGCAGCAGAGATAGGGCCTCTTGGAGGCTTATTGAGAATTGAAGCCCATCGAGACAGCAAAAAGTCACCTCAATAAATGTACAGCAGATTGTAGCATTTGGTGAGTTGTTGAGGTAAACACCTTCTATCAGAACCTGGACTTGCTGTAGGGGAAAGGCAGCATGAATCTGCAGTAGAACCATGCAGAGTTGAAACTTGAAGGAGGTCAAGCAGCTCAGTTCCAACCTTTCGGTCAGAAACCAGCCTGAACTTCAGTGTGCTGTCTGGCTGAGATCAGTTGACATAGATCTGTACGCTACCCACGTTGTCAACCTGTGAAAACAGAGACACACCTTAAGGGGACATTTTTTTCTTCTTTTCTTTTCTCCTTCATTTCTTGTCTTTCTTGTTCTTATTTTTGTCCTGTTTTTTTCTCAATTGTTCTTATTTTATAGGAGTGAGAATACAGTTTCTAGTTTTTTCTGTTGCTGTCAATTCTGTTCTTGTTTCTGTTCCTTTCGTCTCTCTTTTCCTTCTGTCTTCACCAGTTTTCAAAGTTTGCATGATCTTCCTGTGTCCTCTAGTCTTACTTCTAACCTTTCCGTTTCCTTCTTTTTCTCTATTCCACCCCCAACTCCTTCTAAATCTCCCCAGAGGGCAAATTCACCATACTGAAGGGCTTATTTACTGCAAATATATTTCTGGTTGTTTCTAGATTTTGATATACAACCACATGTCTAGTTCATGTCAAAGGTTGTAGATTAATAGTTACCACAGTTTGCCATTTTCTAGGCTGTGTTTGATCTGTTGTTGATGCTGATTGTATTACTTTGGCCAAGGTGATGTGATTGTTCTAGTCAGTTGTCCTTCCTGGTATGCCAAGACTGAGGTTGACTAAGGGCCACTGTACACTCAAAACCCAGAGGCCAACTAAACCTAGAAAATAATACAAGCAGTAGCCATTCCTTAAGAGTTCTAAATACTAGCAATAAAGATGCAATAAGCAATTTAAAAGCAGCAACCCAGGAATTAAACCCAAAACAGCGTCATCATCAACAGCAACAACAACAAAAATACAAACGAGGGGGCAACCCACTTTCTGGTCCCCCTTCTGTCTCTCTTAGACAGAAACTTTCTTTCCTTCAATAAACTTTTCCTACTCTTAGGGCTGGGGATTTAGCTCAGTGGTTCGGTGGCCTGCCTTGCAAGCGCAAGGACCCAAGTTCAATCCCCGGTACAAAAACAAACAAAAACAAAACAAAACAAACTTTTCCTACTCTTAACCTCCTTTGTTCCTAGAATTCATTCTTCAATTTTAGAGAACATGAACTCATGTTTTGTATATCTAGCAGGTTTTGGAGTTAAATCTGTTCCCCCTATATCATTTTAGAGGTCTTCCACCCCGATTACTGGTCGGAGTTTGGAGACCAAAACTGGAAAGGTAACTGGGCTTTGAGGACAGCCAATATTTTGGCCCTGGCCCCTCAAGGTCTATAAGATCCAGGACACAAAGGTACCTTTCCTATAGGATCCTACATCTTTAAGTCTGCCAAACTTCAAGCGGTCATACAAATGGTACCAATGACAAATGTGCTAGACTTCTTTTACTGGGATTCACCAAATTGACCTTGTAAATAGCTCATAACTGCTAAACTAAAAATATGACTTCTGCCGGGCGTGGTGGTGCACGTCTGTAATCCCAGCACTCGGGAGGCTGAGGCAGGAGGATCGCTGTGAGTTTGAGACCAGCCTGGACTACATAGTGAGTTCCAGGTCAGTCTCAACTACATAGTGAGACCCTGTCTAAAACAAAAAAAAAGACTTCTATGTTGGATTCTGAAGCTCCCTGGACCTTCTCCTTTATCCTCTTTGTAGGCTATATTCATGGCAAGCCTTATTATTTGGCCCATGCATTCTTAACTGTTTCTTTGGCTTTGTCTCCTCCAGACTTAAAAGCTATGCAGCTACCAAGATGACAGTGTCAGGTGCCTACTGAAGGCCTTTAGATAGATGCTCTGTAGAGTAACTCTAACTGCTTATCACAACTACGACTCTCTTCAGCTGCAAGTAGCCAGAGCTGTCTGCCCCTTTCCCCCCTCACAGCATGTAGGGGTACTTCAGAGGGGGAATATTGCATATAGGTAAGTTAATTAGATATCTTGTAGGCAGTTAGACAGGGCCACCCTCAAGGAGCCAACACAGGAAGAAGCCAACGTGGAGGACAATCAAGACACATTCACTGAAGGCCAGAATTGTAAAAGGAGAGAAAGGTCTATACCCTTGTGTTTCCCCTGGGGTTAAATAGCAGTGATTGCTATTTTAAATAGGTATCAGTCATCTGTGTGGGGGACCTAGATCTTAATCCAGCCTTTCCAGGAAATATCCCTGACCCCCACCCTTACTGAAAATCCTTGTATGCTTGCTGTGTGACTTGCTCCCCCATTTGACCCCCATTTAATCGGTATTACCTGAGTGACTATACTTGTAATCTTATTGGTTGGTCATGGTTTTGCCCCACCTCATGCCCACCTTGTAATTTTCCGTTGGGTCTTATAGTTTTGTCCCACTTTGTACCTGCCTAACCACATGGCTTTGCTGTATAAAACATCTTGAAGAAGTGGTGTGAGTGGGCAACCCACTTTCCAGTCCCCCTTCTGTCTCTCTTAGACGCTTTCTTTCCCTCAATAAATTTTTCCTACTCTTAAAAAAGAAAGAAAGAAAGAAATGAGAAGACACCTAAACAAGACTCAAAACCAGACTTCCCAGTCACCAAAGGCAACTCCAAGAGGCAACTAGATGGCAAATCTGAAACTCAACAACCTGGACTCCCTGAACTGGCAATGAAAAAGGATCTGGGAAAAAATGAAATCAGAAATAATTTCTCAGATGACAACAGAGATGGTGATCGTGCAGACACAGACAAAAAAAAAATAGAGGAGCTGAGGAAAATGATAGGAACCATGATTACCCAGCATAGGAAAAAAGTGGAAAGCATAAAACACATCTAAGCAGATAGCCAAGAAATTACAAATTCCATTGAAAGTTTCTGCAGCAGAATAAGTGAATGTGAGGACAGAATTTCAGATATAGAAGACAGGATTGTGGTTAATGAACACAAAAAGATTTCTTAAAAATAGCAAGGGACCATGAGAAATCAATCCAACAGCTACTAGATGATGCAAAAAAGAATAACTTAAGATTGAAGACAGTGAAGGAGTAGGAGATAGCACAAATCACATAAACTTTCATAGAAGTAATCACAGAAAACTTCCCAAACAGGGAAAAAGAATTTGACATAAAGATAAGTGAGGCATATGGAACTTCAACTTGCTGGGTGTGGTGGCACATGCCTGTAATCCAAGCACTCGGGAGGCTGAGGCAGGAGGATCAATGTGAGTTTGAGACCCATCTGGTCTACACAGTGAGTTCCAGGTAAGTTTCAACTACATAGTGAGACCCTCTCTCTCTCAAAACAGAAAAAAAAACAAAAAACAAAAAACAAAACAAAACAAAAAACCCAACAACAACAAAAAAAAACCCCACAAAAAACAAAAAATTTCAACTAGCCAAGATTAAAAAAAAAAAAAAAATCTAAACCTAGCATGTAATAGTCAAGATTCCAGGGCTGGGATTTTAGCTCAGTGGTGCTGCCACCTGCCTTGCAAGTGGAAGGTTCTAAGTTCAATCCCTAGTACAAAGGAAAAAAAAAAAGTCAAGATTCCAGAAATCCAGCAAAAGAACAAAATAATTAAAAGCAGTTAGAGAAAAAAAAAATCACATCTAAGAAAAGCCCATCAGAATCACGAAGATTTCTCAACACAAACCCAGCCCTCCAGTCAAGGAGTGTCTGGAGTTAAGTATTTCCAGCTCTAAAAGAAAATAACCTTAAACCCAGATTCATGTATCCCGCAAAACTATCTTTCAAAATTGATGGAGAAATAAGATACTTTCATGACAAAGAACAATTTAGGAACCACATGAATGCCAAACCAGGGCTCCAAAAAAT